TAGGGACTTCTACTACCCAGGTCATGTAATTATGAACCGCGGCATGGTAGCAACACCTATCAAGCTACTACTTTATTATGGGAAAACATGGTATTGTTCATGGCTCACTCAGATCAACTCAGAAATCGTAAGTGGTCAGTGTTTCTGGGGTGAGTTCTGGGATAATGGGGTAAAAACAATAACCGAAGGAAGTTTAGAAGTCAAACTTCCGACAATATGGACAGATGGAAAAGCAGAGGTGGGAAGAGTCAGAGAAGAGAAGAGAAGAGAAGAAGAAAGAAGATCAGAGAAGAGAAAGAGTCAGAAGAAAGAAGATGCAGGTGCGCGAAAAGGTAGAAAAGTCGCGAAACACTGTGCTTTTCCAATGATTTGTGGGTCCAGAGGGTCGAAAAGTAGGCTCGCTAAAGCAGCAGGTGCGGAGCCAACTAGCAGACGAGAGATGAACAATTGCATGCTGTTGTGGCGCGAAACACATTTCGAAGTCAAAATGTACAAAGCACACCACGTTCAGAGCACTTTTGGAAGTTGAGATCAAAAAAGTGCACGCCGTTGTGGCGCGACGCACATTTGAAAGTCAACATGTACAAAACACACCATCTTCGGAGCACTTTTGGAAGTTACGATGTTCAAAAAGTATCAAAAAGTGCACGTCATTGTGGCGCGAAGCACATTTCGAAGTCAACGTGTACAAAACACGTCAGCCTCAGAACACTTTTGGAAGTTAAGATGTTGAAAAAGTGGACTCCGTTGTGGCGCGAAGCACTCGTTTCGTGTGGCCGGCGCAAGGGATTGTGCACTTTGTCAAAAGTGAGCAAAACGTGAGGGTTTTCATGGGTTTTGTAACATTTCCAAAAACGATGGCAGGCATGGGACATTTGAAGAGGATCTGCAAATATGGATCTCGCGTGGCAGGTGCAGTACAAGAGACATGTTCATCAGAGATGTTAGGAGGTCAGGCCGCTGATTTCCTGAGACGGGTTGCATTTTGAAGCATCAGATCTTCAGGTTTGCTAAGATGATTTTGCGTGACAGGTCCAGCACTTTGTATGGCTTAGCATCGCTTTTTCGTGGCAGGCGAGCTGCTTTAGACAGATGGAGTGGAAAAATGGAAAAATCGCAAATTGCATTGGTACGAGGCCGTCTCTGCATTCAACTTTCCATTCTTGAAGGAAGTCTCGCAGAATTCTTTCGTTTTTGACGTTGTCAAGCTCAAAAATTGAGGAGGTCTCGCAGAAATGCTGAGTTTTTGACGTTGCTAAATTCAAAAATTGAGGAGGTCTCGCAGAATTGCTTCGTTTTTGATGTTGTCAGCTTGAAAAATTGAGGAAGTCTCGCAGAATAGCTTCCTTTTCAAGCTTGCAGATAGACAGATAGATAGATAGACAACCACAACTACAACTACAACTACCACTACACCACGCTACTACTACAACTACAAATACAACATACTACACTACATTTTGCTACACTACAATAATAACATCTAGTTACACCGCACTACACTACACTGTAATTACACTAATTACGCAACAACAACAACAACAACTACTACTACTACTTCTACTACTACTACTACTACTACTACTGCTATTACTTCTACTACTGCTACTACTACTACTACTACAACCACAGCTACAACTACAATTACAACTACATGCATTACGCTACGCTAATTCCACTGCAGTACACTACAACCACAGCTACAACTACAACTACAACTGAAACTACAACTGCAACTACCACTACATTACACTACATTACACTAGACTACATTACACTACACCAATTACACTACACCACACTACAGCTACAACTACAACTACAACTACACTACTTCACACTACACTACACTACACTACACTAGGCTACACTACACTATACCACACTACAGTACACATCACTACGGTACACTACACTAGACTACACTAATTAAACTACACTAGACTACACTAATTACACCACACCACAACCACAACTACAACTGCAACTACATCTACACTACACTAATATACACAAATATACACTAATTACACCCCACTACAACTACACCTCCATTACGCTACATCTACATCTGCAGTACACCGCACTACATCCAGCAGTTGTGCTGAGGTGACCACTGCAACCACTGCAACCACTGCAACCACTCCAAAAAAACACCTGTCGGTCCATCAGTGGATTCGCTCTGCCATCCGTGATTCACAACAACCAGCCTCTCCTATTTCTTATTTTTAAACCTTCCGCCACCGCCTTGCGCGGCACTACTGGTAAACCATCCCCAACAAATGGGTCGTATACACCATCAAAATGGGATAGTTTGTTATTGTTTTAATCCCATTAAACCAATTAAGGGACTTAGGAACCAGGATTAGCCAGGTCCTAAGTGGGATGATCCTCCAAGGGCTCAAACATTAGATCCCTGTTGAGGGTCGTATGGAGGTGCCCCCCTTTGTGTTTCCATGGTGGATTCTGAAAGGAATGGCACGAAACTGAAGAACCTGACAAAATCAGGTTTCTAGGACTTGCAGATTGAAGAAATCATCCATTTTAAATCAGTTTAATAGGATTTTCCATTATAAACTATTCATTTGTGGGTACACCCATTTATGGAACCCAGATCTGGGTTTTTCTTGCCACTTGCACAGACTGGATGTGGTCCGCATGCCGTTTCTGTTCGATTTTTTTTTCATTGGTCTCTTTGGGAGATGTGAAAAAACCCGCTGCAGCACTTCCAATCGAGCCTCATTTGCAAGGATTTAAGGGCGATTTCATGGAAGAGCAACGGTTGCAGCAACGGTGATATCATGATGTATAAATCATGTTGAAATGGTAGAAAAATCAAACATAGCTGGGAAATCCCCGAACCAAATGGAGGCCTTGATGGGAAAATCGTATAAAATCGTGAGACTAAATGGAGGATTTTCCAGCAAGTTGGATGCGTCAACCATGGAAATAGAGGGATTTGGCCAACAGCATAGGGAAAAACACAAGTTTCTAGACGATCCTGGGGAAAAACATGGGTTTTCCACATCGAACTCTTAGCTTTCCCTAGGGCAATGGGAATGTCATGGAATAGGACTGGGAACCAACTGGATGGTTTGAGATGTTGATCTTTTGCCATGAGGATATAAACACACCAGCTCAAACAGAATCCAGGTATCTAAGATTGGCTATTAGCCTCCTGTAAACGGTTGCAGTTCGATGTGGAGAAACCACTATGTCTAAATATGTCACAAATTATTTTTTTTCCTTCGTTTACCGCTGAAATGGGATTCACCCAGCCTTTCTGGGGTGTCTAAATGCTTCTAATCTGAGCACCCCATCTGGGATTCTATGATTGTTCCAGTAAACTGTTTGTGGATACAGTTCACCATAGTTATAGGGGCCCCATATCATCCCATATCCCAACTTACTCCAACAAACATGGGGTTTAAATTACCATTAGGAATCCCGTTGCTTGATGTTTATTTGCTTTAAGAAGCCTTCTTGACCTTGGACAATTTTATGAAGGAACCTGCTGGCCGTTTAACGAACTTCAAGCAGAAAGCTGCACTTCTCCATAGTTTCGAGCGTGTTCAGTAAAAAAACCTTTTCCTCCCAAGTATCCAAAACGGGGCCAACCAGGAATCTACTAAACTAGGGCTTTAAGGGTGGTATAATCAATATGAGGAAGAGACTAGTGCGTTCCATGTGAGTTGGCTGTTGATCTTCTGCCGTTCACGGGAATTTGTGTTCCAAGTTGCAACAAACAAAATCATGGCTTAATGCAATGCAGGACAATTCCTCATGATGGTAAACTGTTGCATTTCACTATGGAAAATCACCATGCTATCAATGGGTAAATCCACTATTTCGACTGGGCCATTTGTATATGATGTTTTTTGAAATCTCCATAGGCCATGATTTCCAGCTATGGCTTGAGGTGCTCGAAAATCAAGCCACTGAAGGAGAGAAGGAGAGGTTTAAGCTTCAGACATGGGTTTAACACATTGTTCAAGCTTGGTTGAATATTCAAGATTCAAGCAAAGATTCAGCAGAATCTTCCCAAAATATGGGAGGATCTGAGGATCAATCAACAGTTGATCAACCCTAAACATGTTTGAGGGAGCCGCACCGATATTGGGGGAGCATTTCATCCCTAGACTTAGACGACGGACATGGTATGGACGAAAGGTGGCCAGTTATAGGGTGGCCAGTTATAGGATGTTTTAACTTTCGCAAAACATAACTATTTACATGATTGATTGATTGATTGATTGATTGCTTGGTTGGTTGGTTGGCTGGTTGATTGATTGATTCATGATTGATTTATATACCATGGGTTATGATTGATTTATATTGATCCATCATAAATCTTACTTCACCGACTTATAAACCCTTATTAGTACCACTTAACGGAACCAGCACTGGCGTGTGAAAATTGTCCCGGTAAAAAGCACGTCACAGATTTGTCAACTGGCTGTCTTAAAAAATAGGGCCTGTGTATACTGCCAGTAAAAAGGCCATCCATGTTTAGTGTTGATTGATGGCCTTTAATGATCAACAGGGATGATCTGGCTGGTGGTTTGGAACATTTTTTATTGTTCCATAATATATGGGAGAATCCTTCCCATTGACTTTCATATTTTTCAGAGGGGTTGTTTTTCCACCAACCAGTGATCAATTAACATTTGGGAAGGTCGTGTGGTATTTTACCATAGACCATCCCCAGGCGTCAGCATTAAGTGTGGTATCCCCAGGCGTTTGCTTTCTGGATGGTTGGAATCCCACCGGCTTACTAGTATTACTGGTGCGTTTTACGCAGGGAATTTTCGGGAATGATCCAATCCATCACTAGTAATGTCATCGTCCCAGCAACCCCCAGCAACCCCCAGCAACCCCCAGCAACCCCCAGCAACCCCCAGCAACCCATCCATTCCTTACGTTTAGCACCAGTAACATAACCACAACAAAATCACCATCGATGGCATTGGTTGAATCCCCACGCAGCCGAGGCAAGACTCATGGGCTGTTGCTCTAGCAGTCCTGCCACGGCCACGCCGCCATCGCCCATCAAGCCGACTAAGCAGCCAACGCCGGAGTTGGTGAAGCACACAACGGCAATAGCAGGCAGTTTGGGTAACGAGATGGCCATTGGGAAAAGGAGTATTCTGGAATCTGGATAGACTTCTTGATGGATATTGATGGTTAGTAAGGGCAACTGTCCCAAAATGACCGAAGCATTAATAGTACAAACCACCGTGATAGAAGATATTCAGCTACCATTTTTGTACCCAATCTTCTATGTTTCTTGTTTTCGGAAAGGCGTTTTTGGAAGAATCACATAGAAGATACTATGTCAAAATAGGTGCCAAAACATTTTTCATGGAGGTTGATGAATCCCAGTGGAAGATTCTTAATACCCCATAGGATCCACGTATGGCATATATGCTAACATTGGGGGTATATTGATGGTAAATGTTACCATATTTAGCATACATGGATCCTATCGGTACTAACTTGACACTAGTGAATTATGATAAATTGTGCAGATGAATTGTTCTCAAGCCACTGTTGTTGGAAAAATCCGTGGGCTTAACGCAAGGGGATTCGACCATGGTGGCTTCGGGGTACCAGGATCTTCTTGATACTTGGGGGTGCAGTTGAGGTCACTTTTATGGCTATGACCATGGTTATAAACATCAAGAAGTTGGGATATAACCCTAAAACCATGGTTATATAATGTTATACATACATACATGACATGACGTGACATGACAATACAAAACAAATACAAATACAATACGATACAGCACAACACAATACAATACAATACAATACAACACAACACAACACAATACAATACAATCATACATACATACCTACATACCTACCTCCCTTCCTAACCTTACCTTACCTTACCTTACCTTACCCTACCCTACCCTACCTTACCTACCTACCTACCTACCTACATATATACATACATACATTAATTACATTAATTAGTTACATTAATTACATTAATTAACTACATTATTTACAGTAATTACATTTATTACATTAATTGCGTTCATCACATGAATTAAACCAATGACATTAATTACATTGATTACATACATACCATACCATACCATACCATACCATACATAACATGCGTAACATACACTACATACATTACATACATTAGATGCATTAGATAAATTAGATACATTAGATACATTAGATACATTACATACATACATACCATACATAACATACATAACATACATAACATACATAACATACATAACATACAGAACATACAGAACATACATAACATGCATAACATGCATAACATGCATAACATACATAGCATACATAACATAACATACATAACATACATAACATACATAACAATTATAACATACATAACATACAGAACATACAGAACATACATAACATGCATAACATGCATAACATGCATAACATACATAGCATACATACATACATACATACATACATACATATCATACATTACCATACATTACCGTACATTACCATACATTACCATACATTACCATACATTACCATACATAAACATACATACATACATACATACATAATCATACATAATCATACATAATCATACATACATACATACATGCATACATACATACATACACACATACATACACACACATACATACATACATACATACATACATACATACATACATACATAATATCGACTTATAACCGGAAGACCAATACAGGTAGGCTTAAAACAAGTTTGAGATCCCACTTGATGACTCGACGCTGGGTTAGTTAGACCATGTCAAACCAGCGACCGTTGGATCATGGGTCAATCACTTGCATGATATCAGACGGTTGACCAAGCGAAGATGACCATGACTAGACCTATAGTTGTTGTCACTTGTTTGGTTGGTTTCTGTTGATTACTAAGTTATACTATGGTTTCTGTTGGTTTCTGTCGATGACTATGTGTTTCATTTTTTCTCATTTTTTCTACTGGTTTCAAGATATTATGACTAGTCTCATTCAATTGACAGTGTTAGTTATATATACTGATGTTCCATTGGTTTGCGTATAGGAACGCCAACAAAAATAAACAAGATAGAAAGAGTACTTTACCACTATATTATTCAGATTTTACCATTATCTACTTGAGGGGTGCTATATATATATATATATACAGATAGGATCAGCATGTCTTCGATTCACAATGGGAATAACTTGCTACAACCACCTTCGATTCTTAAATGTTCGTTGCCCCTGGCGCCAGGACATGGCTTCAACGTGGCACATGAGCTGCTCAGACCGCGCTTCAGTATGATAGGATGTGCATCCCATGAATGTGTCAAGAAAACAGGCGCATCACCATCATATATCTCTATGCATATATATATATATAAAATTTAATATTTCTATCTGTATATACATACATATACAGATTATACAGACATATATTCAGATCTACATAACTTTTATAACGAAAATAAAATAAACGTACTTAGACCCCCAAAAAGATGGCAGAACCTACCCAGGTAGCAAATTTCCAATGCCAGGCCAACCCTGCGGAATGATATGCCCGACTTCAAAGCGCAAGAGATCTCCTGGGAAAACGAGCTCCAAGATCCAGTCTCCAGCTGGGAAGTCACAGGCCGATGTCCGGGATTTCTGGTTTCCGCGAGAGGAAGCATCCATTTTGATAGATGTTGGAGGGTCAATCAACTTCAGCCATGGCCGCATGTATATATATGCTTATTATTTAATTTATATATATAAACATATAATCATATGTATATATATATATAATTATACACACGTTTACATATATATATATTTATACAGTATATACAGTACACACCTATCCTATTTTCCCAGTGAATGGTCGTATTGCTTGGTGGTGGAAGATAAGAACTAATCGAAGGAAGTTTAGAAGTCAAACTTCCGACACTATGCAGAGATGAAAAAGCAGTCAGCAGGGAGAAGAGTCAGAAGAGAAAAGATCAGAAGAAAGAAGATGCAGGTGCGCGAAAAGGTAGGAAAGTCGCGAAACACTGTGTTTTTTCGTGGTCTTGTGGCTCCGGAGGGTTGAAAAGTAGGCTCGCTAAGCGGCGGGGGCGGAGACATCTGGGGAGATGAGAGATGAAAAGTTGCACGCCGTTGTGGCGCGAAGCCGATTTCGAAGTGAAAAGGTACAAAACACCTCAGGATCGGACCACTTTTGGAAGTTGAGATGTTGGAAAAGTGCACGGCGTTGTGGCGCGAAGCACATTTGGAAGTAAAATGTGTTAAAAACTGAAAGGTTCGGACCACTTTTGGACGTTGAGATGTTGAAAAAGTGCACGGCGTTGTGGCGCGAAGCACATTTCGAAGTCAAAATTACAAAACACACCATTCTCGGACCACTTTTGGAAGTTGAGATGTCGAAAAAGTGCACGCCGTTGTGGCGCGAAGCAACATTTCCAAGTCAAAATGTACAAAGCACACCATTCTCGGACCACTTTTGGAAGTTGAGATGTCGAAAAAGTGCACGCCGTTGTGGCGCGAAGCACATTTCCAAGTCAAAATGTACAAAGCACAGCATGTACGGACCACTTTTGGAAGTTGAGATGTCGAAAAAGTGCACGCCGTTGTGGCGCGAAGCACATTTCCAAGTCAAAATGTACAAAGCACACCATTCTCGGACCACTTTTGGAAGTTGAGATGTCGAAAAAGTGCACGCCGTTGTGGCGCGAAGCAACATTTCCAAGTCAAAATGTACAAAGCACACCATGTACGGACCACTTTTGGAAGTTGAGATGTGAAAAAAGTGCACGCCGTTGTGGCGCGAAGCACATTTGGAAGTCAAAATGTTAAAGACACTAGGGGTTCGGACCACTTTTGGAAGTTCAGATCTCGAAAAAGTGCACGTGGTTGTGGCGCGAAGCACATTTTGAAGTCAAAATGTTAAAAACGCTAGGGGTTCGGACCACTTTTGGAGGCTCAGATGTGGCTTCGCTTCGCTTCACTACACTACTACATTACACTACACTACGCTACACTCCACTACACTACACTATATTACACTACACTACACTACACACTACACTCCACTACACTACACTACACTACACTACGCTACACTACACTACACTACCTTCCACTACACTTCACTACATTACACTACACTACACTCCACAACACTACAACTACAACTACACAACTACATTCCACTACACTCCACAACACTACAACTACAACTACACAACTACATTCCACTACACTCCACTACACTCCACTACACTAAATTACACTACACTATACTTCACTACATTACACTACACTACGCTCCACAACACTACAACTACAACTACATTACGCTACACTACACTACACTACACTACCTTCCACTACACTTCACTACATTACACTACCCTACACTTCACTCCACTACACTATAAATACAACTACAACTACACAACTACACTCCACTACACTACACTACACTACATTACACTACACTACATTACACTACACTACGCTACCTTCCCCTACACTTCACTACATTACACTACACTACACTCCACTACACTACAAATACAACTACAACTACACAACTACACTTCACTACACTAAATTACGCTACACTATACTACACTACATTGCACTACACTACACTCCAGTACACTACATTACATTACACTACACTACACTCCACAACACTACAACTACAACTACACTCCACAGATAGATAGATAGATGGATAGAAAGATAGATAGATAGATAATCGATAGATAGATAGATAGATAGATAGATAGGTAATTAGATGAAAGAGAGAGAGAGAGAGAGATATAGATCGATAGATAGATAGATACATAGAAGATAGATAGGTAGGTCGGTAGATAGCCAGAGAAAGAGAGAGCAAGAGTGGGAGACTTCAAGCACCTTTCGGTCCATCAGTGGGTTCGCTCTGCCAATTTTGCGCGACACCAACTCACCTCTCCTATAGGTTTTCCATTTTTGAAACTTCCGCCACCGCCTTGTGCGGTACTACTGGTATCACAAATATCCCATTGAGCAAACCAGTCATGGATCCTATCTTCAGGCAGGGTGCCCGCACCGGACAGTCTAAGATGTTCATCCCCTCCAAATATGGCAATACCCGTTCGATAGCTAAGTTGGTGAACATAACTCCAATAACTGTGGTTTATGGTACTTGCCTCACATTGTATAGTGTATCGGTTTTGACCCATCCCCGAATTTGAGAGTGCGTTGGTTTCACACCTGTTCAGATCTCGAAATTTGCTGCAGGCAGCCCATATCATACCATCACTTTCCCCCATCAGATCGAACACAACTGCGTTTTCCATTAAAAATCACCCAGTTCTGGTTCATGGAGGGGGACATTCCGACTGTAGGGACACTCCTAGAACATTCTTTTTCATTAAATTTAATTCCAAATAATTCCATTTCATTCCAAATAATTCCATTTCATTCCTAATATTGTTTTCATTCCAAATAAATATTTTTCATTAATGTTTTTCAGATAGTTTAAAAAATACTTATGTCTGGATGATTTTTAAAGTTTTTCGTTTTTGTTTTTATGTGTTGAAACATGTTTTTTGTTTTTTGGATCTTTTATGATTTTATATTTACTTTTTTTTGGAATGTTCGGATTTGTTTTTTATTTATTCATTTATTTTTTGACGATTTTTTTTTTGACATGTTGGACTGATTTTTTTAGTGTTTTTTCTTAAACAAACATGATTTTTTTGTTAAGGATAGTAACTTTTAGGAATAGCCCGGTAGCCCTGTTAGGAGTAGCCCAGGGCTCTTTTGTGACCCGTATCGTAAACCAGCACCCGGGCTTGATTTCTGACTCCCGAGCTGGACCTATTTGCCGTGCGAGGTATTCCAGAAGGATATCCCCGCGGCAAACTGCTGCCACCTGATCGTAAGCTCCACGAAAAGCACGTCCCTTTGCCGTTGCGACAGAGATTTCTTTGGAAGGTACCATGAAAAGTAACGATTTTTCATGGGGATGTGATGGGCAAAAAAATTGGGAGTTATACCGTATACCTTGGGGTTGCAGCACAGGGATGAAGAAGTTGTGGGTTTTTCACGAGAAAAGGGCCCTAAAACACCCCCCCACGTCAGTTGGGATACAACCCATCAATCCTCTAGTCATATAGTTAGAAAATTGTGATACTAATACCCACATATAATTGGAACTGCACCCTCAAACACACACACGCCTAAAACACATGTTTTTTTTTGTGTGTGTGTCAGATGATTGACTTACTGTCAAAGCCTGACTGATACTTTCTGGTTGATTAATTAGGGGCAACTCCCTCGAACAGTGATGTCATTTGCTACTAAAATGGTACCCCCTTAATGATCACCTAACTCCTAGTTGGTTTATGTTAACTCCATCATCGACTATAGATTATAGAAAATATCTACCAGAAACCCAGCAGTTACTGAAGATCTTCAACGGCACTCTGGCACAGATGATTCCCATAGATGAAAAATATGGCGGAGGAAACCATTTGAAATAGGCCAATTATACAAGGTGCCCCCTACTTTTATAGCTAAGTTTGTTTATAACTATAGCATAACTAGGGTTTATTTATTTGCAACTAGAGGTAGTGGTGTCCATTTTAAACAGTGAGATATATGGGTGTGTCTGAACATAGTGGATATACCACCCTATTTATGGCCATTTTTAATAGGGATGATGATGAACCAATGGCTGGATGAAATGGATGAAATGGGGCAGCCGAAAATCCAGTGGTTCGAAGAGAGCGGAGCCCGGAGCAGGGGGGTATCCAGCTATTCCCTGCAAAATTGCCAGCCAGGGCTACGAATGGAGTTTCCCAATCACATGGTATTCACCCTTCTAGACTGTCTCCAAAGTTGATTTGCACAGCTGAACATTTCAAGTCGGAAATCTACCAGCCATTGCCGGCGAAGCTCCACAGCTTCCATGAAGGTTTTCCAAACTTCTTTTTCGAGCAGACCCATGAAGGCCTGCCTATTCACGATTATGACTCTGAGGGTTACAATGCCTTTGATGCTGATGATGTTCATATGATGCTTAGGATGATGACGATCGTGACCATCATCCTTCTTATCCTCTTCATTCTCATTATTATCCTCCTCTTTCTCCTCCACATCATCACCAGCGTCCTCATCATCAGATCATCAGCAGCAACATCATCATACTCATCATACTCATCGTGGTGTCGTCATCACTGTACAGTCCTCATTTGAATCATGTTCGTAACGAGTCGTTCTTATACTTGCATGTGCGTTCAGTCAGTAAGTGGTTTATAACATTTTATAACCCATTGAATCATATAAGGCTATAAGGGGTATACTATGGTCATTATCCTTATACCAAGTGGGATGCACACCGAAGTAGTGATTATGACTTGTTCTGATGCTGTTATGAATTGTCACAGGGACGCATGGACGGAGCACATGCTATTTCTGGATGTTTTTTTGGTATCCCCGCTTGTGGAATGGCTTTCACTGCCATGGACTAATCTAGTTATATCTAGTTTTTCGTGGTGAACCTCTATTTTCTGATTGATTTTATGAATTTACACATGTATGTATTTCATTATGCATCAGTAACTGGATATACACATACTATCTGCATACATCTATATACTATTTTAATATATGATTATACATATCCACATATTGTTGCATTATATCAAATACATATACATATCCATATATTTATATGTATATGCTGTTTACATGAATACATGCATATAGTCATATAATTCTATATATATATACATAATATTGCATGTGATTTTGCTGCAGCTTTTCTCCACGACTCTTCCTCTGAGATGAAGAAGTTGCGAAAGTTTATGCGACGAGTGGATCAGCCTCTCAGATTGATGAGTTCGTCATATTTTTGCCCAGGGATAACCATGATGAAGATCATCAAACCAATTATGGGGGGTGGTTTTAGATGATTAATACGTGGAGTATACTTGACCTGATATTTTTCCACGATCTCTGACAGGTTGATGATTTCTGAACGGGAGAGTATCATGATGATAAGAACGGGAAATCCCTTTCTTCGCCCATTTTTCATCACGGCAGGATGGCCAAGAACCAAGAATCCCAGTGAATTTGAAGGGACATTTGAAAAAGGAGCCTGCAATGGCAGGGAAGTTCCGTATGGGTTTCTGAAACTCGGCCGGAAGATCCCAGAAAATTCTTCAAGATTCATTCGATTTCTGGAGACAAAAACCACTACCAGCACTACCAATTGCTGTACGACCATTTGTGACATTCCTGGCCGCCCTGGCCCAAGAATACCCAAAGATTGGGAAGGTTAGATGTTTTTGTTCCTTTTCTTAGCATCTTTGTATCCTTTTCTTACCGGCCCCCGTGGTAGTTCTGGGAAGACTTTACTCTTGAAACCTAAGTACCGACTTAAATTCTCAACATGCAGGCTACTAAATCATCATAATTCGGCTTTCTTTCAATACCCCATCTATACACCCAACTGCTGCTGGAAAATCTTTCTTTTTCTTGGTAGAATCCCCACCCTATTGGGGTTTCGACCAAAAAACATTGCCGGTGACAAACGGCTCCCGCTGGGTGAACATTTCTGGCGCCAAGGGTGCCCAGTGACCTTGCTGCCGCTTGGCCTTGCGGCGGCTTCGAATTGAATGGAAGCAGAAGAGCCACGTAGATGATGCATTTTTCACTTTGTATCACACATTCTTCCGAGCCTTTGAATCGCGATGCTTTAACTGGAGGTTTCTAGAGTATATATATCTATATATACACACCCATATATATAATATCGATAATGATTTCCGATCGGTTTACCACAAATCTCCATTAATCACCAATTTGTTCATAAAAAGCACTTAGAATGACTTAAACCTCAAGCCCAAAAATGGATAGTTTACAGACATAGAATTCAGCCTGTCGAGGAACAGATAAGCGAGAGGCGGGGTGATCGCGATGAACCGGAGGTTGAGTTGGCTCTTTGAGCCTTGCCCAACAACACAACAACGGCTGAGCCTGGCGATTGCGGGTGTTTTTGAGATCGAACATGTGATGTAAATTCATGAGGTAAATGTTGAATACTGGACAACAACTATCATGGGTTTTCCCAAAATATGAATGGTGGATTTCTCTTAATCTGTAGGATATATCTTGATACATATGCCACTCGAATGCCTGAGATCAACCAGGATGCTTCGGATTTATAATGTCAACCCTGGATTAATAAACCCCAAACGGGTGTTTACTTGGGAGGGTACCATTTAAGTATCAGATTATGACTATTGGAGGAGTACCCCCCTAATTAATAAACCATAGTTTACTAATGGTTGACATTACTGGGTTGGGAGTTTTCCACAGCTCATGGCAATACGGATGTCAAGTCAAGGGTGTTTCAGATCCCAAAAATGACCGGCCCTCTTGAGGTTTCCCAATGCCAATTTTGACGCAGTCAGTATTTTGTTGACCAACTTTGCCTGGTTTCTGAATTGGTTCCCACTTTTTTCCTAGTGATTTGGGAGATCCAAGCTTTGGCGGAATGCCTGAAATCCAGTGTGACTCACAACTCAATTACCTCATTGGCCGCTACAAGGAACAAAAGATGGTAGTTCCTGGTTTTCACATGTTTTCACATCCAAACAGTGTAATTAAGTGTAATTGGTATAGCTGGATGTTCATACCTTCATTCATATGGTTTTGTCTGAAAATAGGGGATACCCACAGATAGCCATTTCAAGAGGGAAGATGAGAATCCAGTGGAATTGGTGGGTAATTACCCTATTTTCAGACATATCTATATGGAAGAATTATATGATCCGTTAGGCAGTGGTGCATCGCTGCCCCGGTACAAGAAACACAGTTTGCTGATCGTTTGGATGTTTCGGACAGGTGAGATCCAGTAGATGTATGTATATATATATATAGACACGCAGTACATATATAAGGAACACCCATGAGAAGCCAGTCACTAATATATCCATTTGTAACTAGGGACATCATGTTTTTGTTCCATATGTTCATTTCCTGGCGGGAGTGTCTCATTAAGCAACGCAGTTCTCTCCCCATCATGGCTATCACCTCCGTTTCCCTAAGGAGCCATCCCTCGCACTTTGGTGCGTTCAGAATCTCGACAATGGAGGGAGCAATTAGGAGCCAGGGGTATCCATATTTCCTGGTAAATAGGGAGAGGTTTGGAGCTACGGATGGAGTTTCCCAACCACTTGATAGGTGAACGATTACGCTCCAAGTTACTTTTTCCAGTACTCACTGGTTGGTTGGTCTTCGCCAGACTTGGTTTGATGGAAACATGAGGAACATCGAAACCGATTTTGACGGCGATTTCGACATGGTTTCCGATGTTCTCTTCAAACACCAGGGATAGCACGTGGAATGAAGTGGGATGACCCTGCAGTAGAGCTACTCCATTGAGATTTACGGAGGTTTCTGGGTTTTCCGTCGGCATCTGATTATCGTTTGAAAGGGTGCAGTCATCCTTGCCCTGAATAGTACGAATGTCAATGAGATTAGGGATCTCTGACATGGGTATAGGTGAAATCGATTGACCCCTTCAATGGTTAGATGTTGGCTGTTGAGGTTGTGATCCACGTGTCATGGTTGTCATGGGTGATCTTCATATGGCTTTAAGAATGGTGGAATTGACTCCAACATTAGGATCTTTTAAGGGAAAATTATGATGAACCAATGGATTAGTGGGAACACTATTCTAATCGGAATTGTTTGCTTAGAGGAGACCGCCTTCTTGCTCTCTCAGGACGACTGAATCACAATAAAGCATGTTTGCAACGTTAGACTTTGTGAGACCACTATAGTATAATCTTTGTGATACTATGATCGAAGGAAGTTTAGAAGTCAAACTTCCGACAATATGGACAGATAAAAAGCATTAAAAAGCAGAGCAGGGCAGAGGCAGAGAGAAGGGAAAAGATTAGAAGAGAGAAGAGTAGAAGAGAAAGAGTCAG